ATATTAATACAAAAAAAATTTATACAAAATAAAATATAAAATTTAATACATGTTATACGTATAATAAAATGCAACTTAAATATATATTATGTATTTAAGTTACATTTTTTACATTTTCTATATATTTATTCTATACATTAATTTTTTATTCTTATTTATAATTTTTTTATAATTAATTTCAATTCTTTACATATAATTTATTTAGTTTTACACAAAATAAATTATATGAAAATACTTCTAAAAATAATATATTTTTATGTTTTTTTTCCTTAATTTTTATATGCTCTAATAGCCCTAATAGCCCTAACAGACTTAACAGTCCTAACAACCCTATAACAATCCTAACAGCCCTAATAATTGTTTTTTTTCCTGAAAATAAATTTAATTTTTATATGCCTTAATAAGAGCCCTAACAGCCTTAACCATCCTAACCGTCCTAATCGCCCTACTTGCTGGCTTACACCAACAGAAATTCGCGATAAGATGAAATAAGGGGAACCCTAATTAGGAATCCACGATAAGAAATTTAAGGAGTCCTAACCGGAAATCCGCGATAAAATTTAGGGAGCCTTAACCGCGCAACACATCTTTTGGCCAATATTGACCATGTATTTTTCATTTCAAGCCAGTTATCTCTACTTCTGGCCATTCATTATGACTAATTTGTTTAAAAAACGATCGTGCGATTATGATCGTTTCTTTATTCGCACATTATTCGGTCAAAATTGCAAAATGTAAATTATCATGCATAAAATATAATTAGCATGCATTTTAACTCTCGGTTGGCGGGTTGGTTATAAATATCTTTATCTTATAGATTAAATATTTATAGATTAAAAATCTATATTTTTATAAAATTGTTTTTTATAGAGACCGATAATAGAAATTTAGAATATTTCATGTATGTCTATCATACAATTGCAATAAAAATATCTATCTTTATTTTTAAAATATTTTTTTTTTACTTTTTCACTTTAATTTTTCCTCGCGTATTGTCCCGCCAACTGAGAATTAGAAGCAATGGATTTCTTCATGCATTTATAAATCCTTTGCTTCAAAATAAAGGTTGTCACTTACCGGCACTGATGCGCAACAGCGGAGTTGATATTGAAGCTACGTTGTCTGTAACATAAATATAAAATGCAAATTACATCAATGTTTAAAATAATTAATATTTTAAGAAATTATTATTGGACTCATTGAATTTTATATCTAATGTGCGCAAAATTATAAATAGATATATAAATAATATATAGATATATATATAATAATAGATATATAAATATGAAATAATTTTATAATTAATTAGTTTTTTAAGTATAATCTTTAGAAAGAATTATTACAAAAATTTTCCCAATTTTTTCTTGTTTAAATCATTCATATAAATCAAATAAATAAATAAATTTATTTATTTATATACAATTAATATAAATAATAATATTCACCATCAGGTTGTTCCGCCGGTGTAGGATGTCTTTCCTAGGCCTGCTCCTCCTCTCAGATCATCTGGGTTGTTGATCTATAACATACAAATAGAAGATCTAAATTGTAATGTTCAAAATAATTAATATTTCTAAAATTATTGTATGTATTGAATCTTATATTCGATCTTATATTCGATCCATATAATAATAAGTAGATTAACAAAATAATTTTATAAATTTTAGAAAAAAAAAAAACATTAATAGTTCTTTAATAACTTTATAAAAGCTTATGCATTTACAAGAGATTATAGCTTTTATATAAAAATCTTTTTCTTCAAAATTCTCTCGTATTTAAATCATATAAATAAAAAAATCAAATTACGATTAATTGTTTACTTTAAATTATAATAAATATATTTAATATTTAATATATAATTACAAATAAATAAATTGTTTACCAGAAGGTTGCTCTGTCGGAGCCCGATGCCTCTCCTAGACCTCCTCCTCCTCTCAGTTTTGGACACGCGATACTTTACGGCACTCCCGCACTCACGAGCGATATTTTTATCGCTAAACGCGAAAACGTGGTAACGAAACGTCGCCATCCGCGACACGTTGACGGCACCGACAACGGAAAATCGACGACACAATGCGTACAACGCATCAAATGCATGTGCCACATATGAGCCATTGTGCGACTCGTGGCAATACTGTGCTGGGTACTTAGCTTCCCCTTCAAGCTCCTTGAGATTTATCCTAAATAAAAAAATTTAAAATAAACCTCAAGGCACCATCCAAGTACTGAGCCACCCCACCGCGTCAAGGTGTACCCGTGGGGGGTTGTATTATATAAATTTATAATATAATATAATTTATATATATATATATATATATATATATATATATATATATATGAAAGAGACGAAGGGAAATTTATATTATATATAATTTTATATAATTTGCGTGTGGGATTATATCATTCAATAATGTAATCTGATTCATTATAGCGCGCTTTCAATTTTTACGTCATGTACGAAATAAGTATGTAAGCATTTAGTTAAAATAACAATTTTTTTTCTCATTGTAATGACTACTTATATCTATATTATTGAATAAAAGATTACTCGATGATCATTTTCTTTAATAAAGAAAAATTGGAATCTAATTCACAGAGTTATGATAATAAATAACAATGAGAAAATTATATAATAATTATATTGTATACAATATTATATTGTATATATTATATATAATAATTATTGTCACAATTGCTGCCCCTTAGATTTGCAACAGCGTTCATATTAATATATAACTGCTTAACTCTTTTTCTTATTATTTATTTCCGTTCCTATATGCGAAATGTCGACTGAAAAATAAAAGCAATCTGAATAAGAAAGCTGTCTAATTGTATATATAAAACATACTATCTTAAACTGAATCAACGAAAATTTTTATTGATTAAAAATATAACATAACGTATCTCTCATTTAAGTAAGTATTGTGTCTTTTTATAAATTTTTTTGCGAATTATTTATGTAGAACAATAAATGTGTTTTTAAAATCTGCAAATAATTTTTTAAAACATATAGTTAAAATGTTTTAAATATATTTTTTTCTAAATGCAAATTGAAATTATCAATGAATTAATGTACGTTAATTACAACATTTTATAGCTGAAAAACAAAAGAATATATATATATGTAAACATTTATATAAATGACATTGATTGCTTTAATCGTAATACATGAATAATATATAAAATGCACCTTTAATAAATCGAGTTTAAAGAGAAAATGCTTAAAACTACACGGTTATAAACGAGTGTGTAAGTAACTGAAATATATGAAATAAATTTGTGTGAGTAACTAAATTAAGACATAAATCTTGTACGCGATAAAAAAGTGATGACAAGTGGACACGAAAATCGGTATTATTTTGGTTTAGTTTTTATCTGCGTATCAAGTTACAATAGATAAAGCCGAGTCGAGGCTCGCTCGAGCTTGCCCTTTAAAAGCAATTAGAGAAAAGGATGCAACGAGGGTGCGACAAGGATGCGAGAAGACAGGCGAATAAGACGCGAGATACTTCGCGAGTGACAAAATCCGAATTTTCTATTGGATTTGAGGATCGAGGAACTATGATTATTGGCTATCGATCGAGTCCGCGTGGAGTATTTAGCTCAGCAGTCCGCGCGGATTATTTAAGTCAGGAAAAATTCGGGATATTACCGATATATCGAACATCTGACGCCAATATTAATCGTTACGCAAAGGATAAACACAAATTAAATGCAAATACATTCAATTTTAATATTTTTATAAAGCTATTTTCTAATAAAATTAAGTAAATCTAAATTAATTGATTGTAAAATTAATTATTACGCGCAATCAATTTTTTTGCCTTTTAAACAGATATTTAGAATATTATAAATTATAATTATCAAGCATTATCTTGAATATAAACTTTTAATAAAAATTCAGTCTATTTAAAAATATCTAATTCTTATATATAGATCGCGATCGTATCTAGAAAAGAAATTTAACGGCGTATCATTATATTACTCATTAAAAAATATTTGACAATAACATATAAAATTATATAAATATGAATAAATATGAAATTATATAAATCGTTTCATAATCGGCATGCAGATATTACAAATGCTATCTGCATCTGATTTATATAATTTTTCATATGTCATTGTGTAATATTTTCGAATGTGTAATAATATTAATGTCACGTTGAAGGTAGATTAAAAGATAATCCGAAACATTCGTATTTATTGTATGTATTGTGACGAGTAATTTGAAATATACTAATAATTTGAAATATATTAATAATTAAAAGAGAAAGGATTTTTCTTGTGCTCCAGTTATCGCGTTTTTTATTGGCTTTTAGTTATCAATTGTTTAGTTAATTTTTAATTATTATTATTTGAGCCAATTTTTTATTTTAATTTTAATACTTATATTATTTAATATTTAAAAATAATATTTAAAAATAAACTAGAATATTTTTTTATTAGATTATTTTTTGTGTTATAATTTATTTTCAATGATGAACCGTTGTGATAAAGACTATATTAAATTACATATAATAATGACGATGGTGGTGATAGATAATATGTGATTAATATATAATATAATATAATATCGAGTAATATATTTTAATAATCAATTATACTTGATAGATAGATAGATAGATAGATAAATAAACAGATAGAGAGAGATCACAAAACTTATTTATATTACAAATTTATTTAATATATACAAACGTTTTGCGTTACTTATGTTATCGACATTTCGTGTACGAGGCATGGAATACAACCCGAAATTATGTTACCCATTGGAAACATTGGTAGGGCTTTATAGTTCATGTTCACATTTTTTTATTTATAGAGGATGCATTGCTTTCACCTAAGAGTGAACCATGACATCTCTCGTTCTTCTCTCATTGTCTAAATCATTACATGTCATTTACATATAATGTGTATTTAAAATTAATTTATTTAATATTAAAATTAATTAATCAATTTAACTTTATACATTAGCTCTAATAAAATTATGAAATTTTTTCAGGTATATGCAATTTATTGTCTGTCAATTACTCACATTTGTTAAAAACATGTGTCCCTTTATTAAGTAAAGCAACTCTACGTTCTTTGTGAATAGTAAGTAAAACTTTTATGGATACAGCATTTTGACAGAGGTTATTTTCATAATAGAAAATAGTTTGTATTTCACTGTGCTTTTGTTTTACAGGAACTAGAGATGAATTATGAGAGGTGATAAGTGTCTCAGTAATGCAGGAAGACACAGAGGTAGAGCAAGAGGAATAGCAAAAACGAGAGATCTAAACAAGGGGCAAATTATTGGCATGGGAAAAATTTTGATACAATTTTCTGGCCTAAACACTCCTGTGTTTAGAGAAATAGAATTAGTTCAACAGCAAAAACTACCTGTAGATCCTGTAGGAAAGCAAAAACTTATAGAATTACGACAAAGTCAAATCAGACCAATGCAAGTAAAATTATCACCATTGGAACGTGGTTGGATGAGCATCACAATGGATGACAGAAAGATTAGACCACCAGATTCCATTTGAGAAGGTTAATATTTATGCTATTATTGAATTATAATGGTTAAATCACACACATACAAAAATCATGTGATACGATGTCTATTTTCAATTTTTTTCTTTGACATTTCAGTCCTGATATTATTAGAATCTTATATAACTAATATCTTTGTTCTGAAAATACTTTTAAAAGTTTTGAAACCTGAATTTTGGAAAACAAAATGATAACTTGTATGACTAGTAATCTAAAGCACAAGACTAGAATTATTTGTAATAACTGGAAATGAAAATGGATTAACTGAAGTGTTATCAAAAGTACCTGTAACTAAAGCATCCTTAATGATGACTAAAAATAGGGCAGGTCAAAGATTAATGTATATTCCTAGATATAAGGAACACACTGGTAAGAAAATAATTGTGAATATTATATAGTATAAAATTTATTCTTTCTTTTAATATCACTTTGTATTTTTTCAGTTTTTTCAGTTACATGATTTCTTTACACAATTTTTGGAAGTACAAAAATATTTGTAAAGAAAATGCATGAAGGATGGGCTTGTTTGTCATCGTGCAATAAAAGCGTGTTGCAAGGCAATTGGCATAAAGGATATGTATGCCAAAGTAGAAGGAGGTAAGAATGTAAAACATACTCTTCAATAATGCACCTTGAACACTTCGCTTCATATGTTTGCAATAAAAATATATTAAAGCAAGTTATTTTGCAAATTTATTATTCTAATCTTTATTTAGAAGGTTCAAAAAAAGTGTGAATTTTTTCAGATTTTTTTTGATATTTTTATCTATTGAAAAAAACACATTGGACTAATCTTCTTGTACATTTTAAAGGTGCCAAAAGATTTGCTTTTTATTTTTGCACTTTCTGCAATAATGTATACTAAAAATGACATAGATTTAGTAATTGGAAAGAAAGAGAGGAGAAAAGAAAATTGCATCTAGAGAATCAAAAAGAATAACAAATCTAAAAATAATAACACAATGTAAAGATTAATATTGTGCATTTTTCTTCATGAGGAATGTGGAGCGCACATTTATGCATTTATTTATTTAGATGAGATTTACTTTAGGGTGCATTCAAACATTCAACTTTAATTTTATTTTCTCTTTCTTCTGATATATAAATATAGTGTAATGAAAAGCAAATGCTGTCATTTTTGTGTGCTTATATTGATGGAAGAACAATATTACGAGTACTATATTTACAGATATAACATCTGCATAATAAAAAAAGTACCAAAAGTATAATGATGGAAAAAGGGTAATATTATAGGCCAGCACAAGTATCAACCAATTATTCCATCGCTCTGTTTCATTAGATTTGCAATTTTCTTTTGCAATATTGTAAGATAAAGATTTAGGCACGTTCCGAATAAATATGTACATTTTATGTATGTAACATTGCACATATTAAAAAGTGATAATATTGCAGTTGTAACAAGATACAATCCTGGCAATGTAATGATTTTTGGATCCCACTGAAAATAATTTAATTTTATTTATTTTTGAGAATTGCGCGCAATACTTAAGAGCAAATTATTTTTGTGCCATGTATTACCTGTGTAAAATTCTATGTACAGTATCGTATTGTCTGTGATATATGAAAAGCTTCATCGATGAAATAATGTGGTTGAATACAATTAAGATACAAGAAAAATAATATAGTACTCGTAATGAATAATGTTAATGTGGAATACATAAATATTTTGTATTTTAATTTCATATAACTAAGATGAGATACGACACTCATGATTACTTTAAAAATGTGCCCACAAATATTATTTAACTTCAATAGCTGCACATTCGTCAAATTAATTCTATTACGTTAAATGCATCATCACAGCAGCTTCTTTTGATTAATTTAATCTAATCTAACCAATTATATTATATGCTCCTCATTAAAATGTGTAAAACTGTAAGTCATACATTTAATACGATTAATATACTACGTAATAAAATGTATGAAACACTAATGATTAAATATTATTTTTAAAAGTATGATAAAATCCATGCAGCATAAGCTCGTGTTTACATTCGACATCTGAAGTCATTGAGAGGTTAGGTTAGGTTAGGTTAGATCGAAAAAGTTATCGTTTAACAGTTGGCATCCCTACAAGATCCCTGTGTAAGCACTGCGCACGCGTATACAAAATAAATTTCAAATCACTTCTAGTCTAACCATCTTCACGCGATCGACTTTCTTTGAATTGCATCGCGTCGTATCGAATTATGATGCGGCGCCGATTTGCCCGAACGTAATTCGAGGCATCGTGATGCATGTATAAGCGTCGAATGAGCACGAATTGTCACGCAAATATGATAAATCAAATCAACTCACCGTTCACCGGCTGTTTCACAGGCTGCTCCATTCGCTCGCCTCGGGATATTTCGATCTTGATGCACACAAACTCACAGGATATCATCAACGCGAACGCGCGACACTTTATTCGGCACTCCCGATACTCGCTCGCATCCGATAATCATCATCAAAGACGCCAAATAACGCGACGCGACTTCGCTTCACCTTCGCGATGACGCCATCACTGAATTCTGTCAAAAACCGCTGTCGCGCGCTTCCATCGACGTATTATGAAAGTCGCGCGATTATCCTTGGACACTCTCAACGCTCGTTCACTCGTGATGTTCGTTTATTTACGGTTAAAAGATGCGAAAAATGCGGACGTACGACGATCTGCGTAAACTGCGTATGACTTTGATTCACGTATGACGTAGCAATGACGCGCCAATATGGTGGCCGAACGATGCGCATTCGTTTCTGCGCATGACCATTACTGCGCTTGACGTTTGCGCGATTTTGATTTCTGAATATTGTCTATGGCGAATATTGGCTTTGATTAATAGCACGTAATAAATATATAAAGATAGAATCGATCATATTGATTATATATGTAGATTTGCGCGAAGAAAGAGAGAAAAGATCGAGAGATATTTTTAGATTTCTTTAGTAAAGGAAATATTTATTCATTGTCTTGTTTTTCTTTTCCTCTTTCGCGCGATTTCGATTCAATATATAACATAGAAAATTCACAGTATATTGGATTTATTTTTATATATTCACAATATGTTTTTGTATATTTACTATAATATTCGCGCGGTCATTTTTTAACACTTACAATATTCGTGTACATACACTGTATCTTGTTCTTGATATTCTTGATGTTCTTGATATTCTTTTAAAAGAATAAAGAGGAGCGAATATAATCCGTCCGATTTTCAGTGTATAAAAATGACGCGCAATCTGACGTCAGCGCGGTTTTCTTCACGCTTTTAATTATTGCAAATTTAAACAAAGAAAAACAATCGACTAATAGATTTTAGATTACAATATTAAAATGCAGAGAAAGAAAATTATTATGTCTAAAATAATAATTTAATTTGAAATACAAAATTGAAAGTTATATTAACTGACTTTGTAAAAGTGCAGTGAAACAATTAAATAGTAGATAGAGAGATTCGAAATTTTTACGGACGTAATTATGGGTTTCGTCTATTTCCGTATCAAGATAAATTTAATTAAATCACTGGTTTTTCATTAAAAATCATGAATTGAAAAATTATTTTAAAATTAATCGGTTTTTGAGAAATAATTAATTAATTCACATACACACAATTATATGATGGTTAAATAGGTATATCTTTCTTGATATTATTATTATAATTTTTATAATAAATTTAAATTATCTGAATTATTACAAAAGTTTTTGCAAAAAAATAATTAAATATATAATTCTTTATAATTTATAAATGTGAATAAAGTAAGATTGAAAATAAGAACAAAATTTTGACCTCAAATCAAATCGATTAATAATTGAAACGTCCTATATTGTATAGTGAAAGATCGCCTGCTTGTAACATCGATGATTCGAAACTCATTAAAACTTAACAATATCATTAAGGCCCGGTTCCACAATCCAGTTAATCCGAGTTTAAGTAGCAAATGGACCAATCAGGACCCAATTTAACGTATTAAACTCGGATTAATTCGAGTTGTGGAACCGGGCCTAAGAGGTGCATCAACCAGTACATCGATGCTATCTTCAGCATCTGGCACAGCATCAGTACTAAAGGAAATCAGTCGATTATCGACGACACTTTGGGTTGGGATTCTCAGACAAACTTCTCCACTTCCTGCGGCTGTATCGGCTTTAAACTTTTCTCGATGAAATATAATACACGTAAAATGAAAATTAAGATCTAGCTCAATTAAATTTGCCGATTATCAATCAGTTTTCACAGAAACAGAACTATATGTTATTCCCTAAAACTCTCCTCTCAGCTAACATCTAGAATAGATTTTTTTCAGTAGAAATATCAACAAGTGTCATTATATCATATATTCATATTTTTAAAATTAAATTTTAAATTAATATTCTGTTTAAGTAAAATTTATAGCCGCAATGAAAATTTGAAGAATATATTATATTTGATCATTTCTTTCTTTTTTTTGTGGAAATTTTTAATGTTCTACTGCTAATTCTAATCGTATATTTTCACTAAGGAAAAACTGATTGAAAAAAATTTGTCAGAACATATATCGTTCGAAAATTATCGGAAATTATGGAATGTATAAATTATGAAGATCATTGCAGTTAACATTAATATCAAAATAATATCAGAATAATATCAACGTATAGAGCAGTGAGCACATCGTACGGAACTCTCTGATAGTCTCTGTCAGCTTATCGTACGGAATTCTCTGATAGTCTCTGTCAGCTTGACCGCGTTTTTCCGGCGTGTTCCCATAACAATGTGGACTGATATTGTCAGAGTATAATATAGCGAACACACGGAATCTACCGTGATGATTTACTGGAATATATTTGCTACACAGTACATTGCATGCATGTCAGTCACCATAAAAGAGCGGCACGAAAGATCTGTCCATCTTAATTATGCACTCAACCGTAGCTCCATCCGTCGAATGGTCGAATGGTGTGTGGATCCTTTGAAATAGCTATTGCTCGTGCTGTGATATTTCGATTTTCGGCATCGACGAGACCGGTGTTCGAGAGATCCGTTGTATATATTTTGTTCGCTTCCTGAAGCGTAAGAGATCCGCTGACGGGATCGAAATCTGTCTGAATAGTGTCAAGTTCTACGACGAGGAATTTTGCGAAAAACAAAAATCATTTTAACAAAGAGCTTAAACGAAGCCGACGAAAAATTTACAGTTTCGCATCGCGAGGAAAAATTCTAAAAGTATGGTGAGAGCGTTTTTTTATTATATCAAAGACGGATATATTGAAATTGCCATATATTTTATAATAAATTACGAAAATTCAATCTAAAATTTTTATTTTTTAATTTTTATCTTAAACAAGTATTAATTTAAAAATTAAAAATATTACTTGACTTAACATTATTCAAATCCAATAAATTAATCGTCGAAATTCTCATAAGTCGAATTTTTCAACAAAATACTGTAAAAAAAAGAGTATACTATACTCAAATCGTCCTATGTGATGTTACTACTCCGGATTAAAAAAAGGGAAAGGAACACTATAGCGTTTCTCAATTTCACATTGAACGTATAATATTTCGGAATTCAAAATTTGTTTGAAATATCCGTGCGTCCAACCAGCGACTAATTTATTGCTTATTTGAAGGAAAAATTTATTCTATTCACAGGGTTTTACCTAAAGTATGTCACGTGTTTCCTTGTCAATCGGAAAGCGATGTACGCAGCATTTCCCTTTATAATTTCAGTGCACACATAGTCGACGACGGGAAGATCTTATATGCGCAAGTGGTATGACGCTGAATATGAAAGCGATTCAGCTCGCCGCAATACTCATTGCGGCGATATTGTCCGCTGCGGCTGCGAATAATATCAGCGAACAATGCCAGGTTCACAATGAGAGGCGGATTACGTGTAGTTGCATCGGAAACGAGGTACCGATTTAATACCCTGTGCAAAATCATTGAAATTGCTATGACAAATGTAAATTATGTTTCCCTTTAATCAGGTAAATTTAATGAAAAGCGAAATTTTTAATCGCGTGTATTTTTTTCACGTTTCTTGTTAATTTTTTTAAATGTTTATTATCTTATTGTTTTCATTAGATTTTTCTATCCCTTTTTCTAATGAAGTAATTTGTAATTATTTGTACTAAAAAGATATTTTCCTCCATTTATAATAAATAAATATTATTGTTGTAATAAATAAATATTTCTCTACATTCATAATACATATTAAAAAATTATATTCATATCAATCAATTTATATATATTGTTTACATCTCTTTGTAATCTACACAATAAATCACAATAAATCGTATAGTTTCAATGCTTCACAGAACGTAGCTTCACAGAGAGATTTAAGATACTTTTAAACGAATTATGAAAACTTTTTTGAAAAAGCTGTAAAAAAAGAAACAACAACAATTCACGTATTCCTCTCAAAAATGCATCAATATTTTTCTCTATATGGGTTGAGCTTTAATAAAATAAATTGCCGAATTCTGATAGATTCTTGAATCAATTTAGTCGATTGATTGTTTTTTTTTTCAATATTCGATAGTATTTTTAAATTGTTTAAAGTGATTTTGACGATGCATGGATGATAAAAAGTAATCGAATTCTCAATTTTTTTCCAGGAATTTTTGCTGCCGGAAGAATATAATTACAAGAATGTTACCAGCATATCTCTCACGGGATGCGTTTCAGCAAATCTCCATTACTCGAGTCTACCGGAAGCGAATGAGCTCGAGGAAATAATAGTTCAGAATATCAGCGGTCGTCTGGACTTTGAGGTCTTTATCACGTCAAATCGGATGAAGCTGCTGAAACTATCGAATATTGGTCGGATACCGGTGATTGCGAGCTACACGTTCGTAAACCTTATAGCGATCGAAAGGCTTGAGATCACGGATGCAGTCATCGAAAACTTTGAGGAAGATTTCACCATCATCAATGTGTCGCATTTTATCGTAACGAATGTCACGATTGAACGAGTCAACAGGCTGAACATCTCCGAAAAGGGCATGACGCTGAGTATCATCAACAGTAGAATACAAAACGTCGCGACATCCTTAAACTTCGCCAACTTTCAGTTCATCCAGATCATCGATTCCAAGTTCGAGCTGCAGAAACCGGGTCTGGTATCCATCCAGGGCGACGAGGCAATCGTGAAGAACAGCGTCTTCACGAACGTGAGCATGAATCTAGTGGCGAAGGACTCTATAACTATAAATGGCATCTGTGCAATTGGTAAAAGTACCTTGAGACTAGCGGCCAAGTACATCAACAGTACTGGCAATCGGCTGCCGAACGAGATTGCCTATCCGAGGGACAACAATCAGAAACCAGAATTCTTCACGAATCGTAATAATACTGTCTGCAAAGCGGGCAATTGCAAGTGCTTGGAAAGTAACGGGCAAATTCCATGTCAGCTGATTGTTCCGACGTTCATTCTCGGTTGCTTATTCACATCATTGTTATCAAAAGGCTTCCTATAATTATTTCACAATTTGTAAACAAATGGCATCATAATTACTCAGCTTTTTATATAATTTACAGAAAAAAAATTTGTTTTATCAAATTCTCAATCGAGCTACTCTTTCTATATTGGATTCAAGTTTAGTTTTTGCATCTATTGGAAAACTATCAATTGGGGCAGACTACAGAATTGAATTTAGATTCTTACTCCATTGTTGCATATGTCTCTAAAAAGATGATTGGGCTTTTTTTCATATAAATAAAATGAGAATTCCAAAAAATTAAGAATATACGTTAGAGAAAGCATAAAGAATTTTTATATATAAAATATTGAACAAGAAAATCCTTATAAACAAAATATTTATACAATTTTTTTGCACTAAACATATAAAGCTTTCAGTTTTCTACAATAAACAATATTAGTACAAAACTCTATTTCTACATTAATGCACAGACATATATCAAGCAATTGTATGTGCTGTATATAAGTTACAAATAAATTACAGTATTATATTAAGTGTTTAAATATTTGTACTGGTCCACCCAGACGCTTCAACCTGTAAATCGATGGCATTCTTATGTAACTCGAGAATTTGTTTTAGATTGTTGATCTCCTCCAGCATTTGTCTATTGTTCTCTTCTAGACGACAAATAGTTTGTTTATAAGAAGTTAATTCCTTCTCATGATCTGTTTGCATCATTTGTAGGACTTTATCTTTTGACACAAAGGTTCCTGCATAAACGAAAGAAATATAATATTCATTTGCACATTTTTTCGAATCGTATTAAAAAAATGGAAAATACAAAATATTAATATATTCTATGAAAAAAGTAAAAATTAAACAAAGGACCAAATATTCAGCAATAAAAATAACTAGTATAAAAACATAAAATGTACCAACCAAGAGACTTTTGTAATTGCTCCTGGAGTTTCTCACTGTTCCGCATAATTCTTCTTATCTCATGTTCGTGTTGAATATCTTTGGACTGAGCTTGTTTCTTTAGTTTCCGTATCTTTAAAATCAAAATTTAATTTCAGTGCTTATAAATTATCCAAATTATCAGTTTTCTAATTATCCAAATTATCAGTATTCTATATAAAGTCTGGACTTGTCTATCCTTCCTAATTATTACCTCTTCTTTTTCATGCTTTAAATCACGCGATACACTCTCACATTGAACCTTAAGTCTTCTTTCTCTCTCCTGTGCTTCGCACAATGCTTGCTCTTTCTTTTGCACATCTTCCTTCAAGCGCTTTACATGATTCTGTTTTAATACATTTATAATTAAATGTTATAACTTTTTAAGCAAAATACATTAATTTCACATGCTTACCAATCATTTTTCTATGCAGCGTGAAATAATACAATATATTTTCACTAGATATTTTTAAAAACATAAAGCAAACTCACCTTAAGATTAAAGTTATCATTAACAATCCTGTGATTCGATTCAGCTGAGTTGTCATGTAATCGCATTAGTGATCTATATTTATGTATTAAACTCCAAGTAGCATTTATCACTTTTATTAATAACTTCTTAAATGGGTCTGAACTTTTCTGATCATTATGCTTACTTAATGGTGAAATACCAAATGATTCAAATTCCTACAAAATTAAGTATTGATTAACATTTACATATATTTATAGACATTTCAATAAACTTGTCAATCATGCCTTGCTACCTCATTTATTATGTACAAAGATTGCTCTAAATTATCCTCTGTACAAAATACAGGCTCTTCGCTATTAAAATTGCTTCCTTTGGCAAAAATACTTCTCAGATCCCTTTTTGGGCAAGTGTTATTGAAGTTTGTACTCATTTTGTCTATGGATAAGTCTGCTAGAAATAAAAATGGAATTTTTATTAAACATTTTGTTAAGATTGATATAACATATAAAAAGAATTCATATCTTCATATATCTTCTTTAAATCATTTATAAAATCTTTCATCTAAGTTTCACGTCAAATCTTTTATCTCTAAAAATTGAATTTTACAATATGCACATTATATTCATGTTTTTTAAAATAAATTATAAAGAAAATACATTATATATAAAAATAAATCCAAATATAATTTAGTGATCTACAACACACAATGATCTACAACATTCTTGACACTATACTTTGTCCTTTTTCTCTCTATTATTACTGGGTCTTCATATTTATCTCTCACATACTGTAAGACTTATCAAGCAATGTTACTCATCTTAACAGAAATCTCGTTTTAGCTCTGCCCAGAGTAGACAATGAAAAAACCTAAGGGCCATCTGGAGCGTCTACATTGGCATTTTTGAAGGTCATTAAAATCCCCCTGTAAAGCAGCGCCATTAGATATATTTAGAATTGGAATTATTTGGATACAATTACTTTTTGACATACTGCCGGTAAAATCATTCGATGCATATCTGTCTATTTATAATTATAAATTTAATTGTATATTTCATTAATTGCATATAATCTTTTTCTAATATATACTATACTGACATCAATATATTTTTATTAAAATATTTTTATATATATGCCTATATATTTAAATTTTATTCTTGATAGAGAGAAAAAGAAAGAAAGAAAGAAAGAAAATAATCTTTAATTAACTCATTTTTTAGAAATAAATAATAAAACTTATTTTATATTTCAATTTCTTATACAATATAATTTTTGTTAGGATAAAAGTTTTATCAAGTATTGTACATCAAATTTTTTTTACAATATATGTATATAATAGAATTTTTTATTCTATTTTTAATACAATATTTATTTAAATATATACAATTATTGCTATATATGAACTTAATTTTTACATTGAAAATAATATGGCATGGCCATTATTAAGCTTTTTCTGATTTTAATCTTATATTAACTATTTATATTTATAATTTTATTAATAGGACAATATATGTTAACGTATATTCGTAATCATTGAAAAAGGACATAATAAAAAAATCAAAATTTACAAATAATTAATTGGAAATAAAATTAACTAAAATTAACTAAAATAAAATTAACTAAGTAAAATAGTTAATTAAGTAAAATCTGCAAATAGTTAATTGGAAATAAAAGATATTTTCATCTCTGAATATTTTATTCTTCTTCAGAAGGAAATCTAACTATTCTTACATTTTGTATTATATATGTTTAATAATAATTTTAATTATTTATAATAACTATTCCTTATAAAGAAAGTAATAGAAAAGTAATTTCAAAGCTCATATTTCATATTTAGATATCATGCATATTGTACGAAATATATGATTAACAAGAATTTTGAGAAAAATAAAACACAGATATCAAAACATGTATGTGCACGATAAATTTTATCAAATTTATCATTTTTTGCATATTAAATAATATAGAATCTGAGAAAGAAAAACTTGAACAAAGTGTGTATGTTGAAAAAGAAGTGTAGAAGAAATTATATAAATAAATAAATAAATATATATATATATATATATATATATATATATATATATATATATCTTTAGCAATTATATTATAATTTATATAATATGTTTCTTTTGCATATGTTTTAAAGGAAAAAAATTAATAAAGAGTGCGTGTATTGATAATTTATTGGTCATAATACTCGCAATATTTCATAATAACATAATTTAGCACTGTCTACATATATCATAATTATATTAAAATACATATTTATAAGTCTATTTTACACACACATTTATCATTTATTATATTTATTATTTTTGTTACTTATATCATACTGCTGGCCATTAAATTGCAACATTGTATATATAGATATATATATAATGCTGCAGTTTAAGTCAACAGTGTATTATTATATTTGACAGTAAATCGCTATCATATGCATTATATTATTATTTATAACATTTTTCACAATTATTATCACAATTGTCCTAATTGTACGTCTCAATATATTAATAAACCCTTCGCTCTTTCTCTCTATGTCTAAAAAAAGATAACTCCTCGCATTCATTCCTAAAGTGTTCAAGATTAATTGAAAATACAACATTTTCTGAATCACAAACTTTGAACTTTAGGAATTTTGTTTTTTAAAGTACAGAGACTATTTTTAAATTTTAACAAAAAAAATGGATTTTAAAAATCCAAATTATTACTATCGATCATCTTCCTCGCAATTTAAATTCACAAAAACTGTAATAACAATTGAACAACATTAAATAAATTAATTATTTAACATTTTAATTATTTACGTAAAACCAATTACTTTAACTATTACAATAAATAAATAATTTGCATACACACATTAAAGGACGCATAAGTTTTCATAACATCCATAAATATTTGTTAACTTTTCATAACTTAATCTTTCTGTGCAAAACTTTCTATCACACACAATTGTAATCATTAAATTTCGTTCGATCGTATTTTATGAAATACAGTTGTTAATTTATTCACATTGAAAGCGGATGAATTTTCTCAACTTTATGATAATTTTTTTAAATATTTAGAAATACTATATAACTATATTTAACTAACAAATTTATATAATTATATCTTATATTAAATTAGTATGTAAATTTTTGAATCTTGTATATTATCAATTAATTGATATTAAAAATTAAATTTATAGAAAGAACTTAATCATTCCATTATCAAATATGTTGATAAAACATTAAACGTATGTATAAGAAAAATTAATTTTAAACACATGGCATGGAAAGTAATTAATGTTCGCTCGTATAATTTCAAAAGAGTATGTGTGTCATTTTTAAATTACCCGCAATTAATTAAAAAATGCACTATATTTCTTTCGATAGACTTAAATACGAGCTTGTTTGTCTTCTATTTAAACCTTCCGGATATCATGTGAAATGAGCGCTTACAATATAAAATAATTTAATTTTGCGATTAAACAATAAGAGATTTACATCCGCACTTTTCTTAAAATGCGAACAAACGAAATTATATAATGCCCGGTAAAAATCAGTATTGAATCAGGATTGAAAGGTAAAGCCTTTCAAATTATATACTTCTGAAAAACTTATGTAGAGCCTGAAATTTCGCTCTGTTAGATTACAATTACTAATTTTTGAAATGAAGTAAAAAGCTTGTTTCTGCTTTTTTTTAAATTAGTATCCTGTATAACAGTCCTTTGACTAAGCACGATAAAGCGATTTATGTACGTGTGAGATGACATTGTACAATTTTTTCCGTTCAAGGCACAATATATTATTAATATATAAATACAAATTGGATTCGATTACCGTACGTGCATCTGCAAAGAAAGCAGGAGGATACATCTCGGAGAGGAGCCTCGAAACAGCAGTCGTCGCGAAAGACGAATAAGGTCTTCCGAGGTATATCATCCTACTTTTTTTCTTATATCGCAATTCATATACAGCGGAAGATCCCTATTAACTCTCATTGCATCCGCAATGAATTGGGACTTCTAGATCGTTCTACGTCTTCTTTTTCGCAAATAAGACTCATCGCTCGCTTTCGTCCTTTATTATTCCACAACACATAAGAATGTTTAGTTCCAGACACTCTGCGTGCTTGGCTAAAAATTATTAATAATGTTAAATATATTTTATACATATATATGTGAGATACATGAAACAAAAAATTAATTATTATGCGGGGAAATCATGAAATTTTATACATTTAGAATTTGTCTTTCAATAATTTTCACAATTTGTTTAGATACCAATATATTTAACAATTTATTTAGATACCAATTCTTTTTTCAATATATTCCCTTAACTTTTAAAACGTTAAAATTCTTAATAATGAAGTTTTAAATTAAAATTTTGTGACAGTAATGTTTATTTAAAACATAGTAATGTTTATATGAAATATATATATATATATATATATATATATATATACAAAATTTGAATAAGTTTTTACTTATTTTTAATTTCAAAATATTTAAATTATAAAGAGTTAGATTTTTTTGAAATATTTATGACTCAAAGAGAAGCATATTTGTTGAAAAAGGCTTAATTTTAGATCAACACAAAATCTGTATATGATAGAAGTTGTGGCAAATTCAGAACCGAATTATTCTACTCACGTTTGAAACCAGTCGTACTCAGTAACGTATGTTTCATTGCAGAAACTTTCGAACAAATCTATTATCGGATAGCTTTCGAAAGAGGCGTCTCTTCTAGATGCATCGTCAGCCAGAGATCTGATCCAATTATTAAAGCAAAATAACGCCAAGCTTTGTTTTTTATAGGCGTAAATGCTGAGATTGGCCAAGGGTGGAATTGTACAGATAGTGATGGCCGAGTTTGAAAGATGAAATTTGGACCGAAGAACTTGCAAAAGTTCCGTCATATCATATATCATCTCCTCGCAAGTGGCGCCCTGATACAAATTAAAATTATGTATTATTTATGCGAAAGTAAGTACAAAAATTGGATATTATTTAAATAAATTATTATTTTTAATAAAAATTTTATTTTATATTATAAAATTTAATTATTAAGAAAGTAGAGATAAATCAACTTACGTTGTAAACATCAACTGAACCAAGCAAGATCACGACACGATTGGAGATGGTGCTAATATTCCTCAAAGATCGAGTACAATCACTTATGGTTTGGCCAGAGATACACAAACCACAGTGTAATGCTAAATTATCTACAGAATATAATAATCAAAACAACTACAGAATATAATAATCAAAACAATATAAAAACTATAGAACACTATATTTTAGAATATATCTACGTCTCTCTCGAGAGAATTTAACTTTTCTATATTATGATTTTTACGATTTTATTTGTGTATGACTTTAACAGAGAGCAATAATTATTTTAATCAAACAAATCATAATTATAATATAAACTTTCGCAAAAGTATAACTTGCTGGAAATTTTAGGAAAAGAACTTTGTACCTTTATATCTCCAGATGGGAAGATGAAGATTTCGTATTGCGAGTTGCAGGAAAAAATCATCGCCGAGCAATTGCTGGCCACTTGCAGTAGGTTCATGTATGCTGGTCTGAAATATTAAATAATATTTCGTAATACTTTCGAGAAAGTACCGCCGAGGATTTTGCTTGACGCGTCTCGAATGTAAATATTATTATATACTCACAATTTCTTTCGTTTCATTCAGTTCTATTACTACCGGACAATGATTCTCTTCTTCGTACGAAAAGCTGTTATTTTCATGAAAGCCATCTGAAATATAAACAAGTATTACAACTTGTTTTGAAAATCTTTCTTCTCTTATAAGAGTCTTTGATTAAATTATCCCAAGTGATTCGCGTTACACAATTGAAATATCAAGGTAAAATAAAGCAAAATACATATAAAACAATGTAAATATGGAAAAAAAACTAAAAATAGATAAATCTAAAATTGTACAATAAAATATAGAAACGTTTTTAAGAGAGCAAAAATAATAAGCAAATTTAAAATAAAATTAATTAGTACAAATTAAAATTATGTATTATTTATGCGACATATTTATATATGACATGTAATTATATATAATAAAATATTTAGTGAAATATTATTTCCTGATAATAGTTCCAAAATGGATGTGCCGGATAAGAAATATCTTACGAGTTTTTGACAAATACGGATCACGACGATAATCAAGATCTTCAATTCGCTTATTGGCACGATTGATATTGTGTGTTGCTCTGTTTCTTTGCCTACGATCATCGTTATATTCAGAATTATTCTTGCGATGTGCAAATTGTTTATAATATTTGTTCTGAAACAAAATTTATAATTCCTTAATTTTATGAATCTATCATTATTATGTGCTGCGGAAATCATCGAACATACTTTTGTTTTCGAATAGTCGACCTTTTGATAGCGTATGAGTCTATCGATATGAGCAATCTTAGAATCGTTTATCTTTAATATCTGTTCACCAAATTCATTCCGTTTTGTCTCCAAACCATCTATAATTCGCAAAAATGCACGGAGACTCGAAAATCCCAATCTACGATAAGGAATAGGCTCTCCGACGAGATTTTGAAATTCGTCTGTGAAAATAGTATTTTTTTCTAATATTTAAATTTATAAACTATACAATCTCTTCAATTTAAATAATATTTTTTTTAATATTTTAAAATCATGAAAATTCTTTTTCTTGTTTAAATAATGTTAATGTATTTTAATATAATTTTAATCTTAAAGAAATAAGTTTTACTAACTTGGATAAGTTTAAAAGATTTATAAATTTTATTTAAACGCGTAGTCCGTATTTAAGTAAAAGATATTAACTCTTCTAAATTTTTTGAATTTAATATATTTCTAATGTATTAACATTTTTTAAAATATTAAGAATTTATTTAATCAATTTTATTTAATATCAATATTACGTAGATATGAATATTAAATTTACAATAATCTAAAAAAAATATTAATCAAACTTCTCGAGGAATAATGAAACTTACCATTTAGATCTCCAATTGGCACACCTCCTTTCTTCGAAATTATGCACGATTTTATCAATGCTATAGTTTCTTCCATTGTTTCTATAAATATAAATTGATAGATATAAATTGAAAGTATACGCACTTGTTTATGTAAAATTCATAAGTTTCTATTATTCTTTATTTAATTTCATTATTAATTTTAAAAAAATCAGATTATAATTTAAAGATTAGTTCTCTAATATATATAATAAAGCAGTATTCACGCGCGAAAAAATGTAAGAAATTTCATAAATCAACATGTACTTACATTATTTTATTATAAATTATCACTAGTTGTACAATTTCACTAAAATTCGATATTTATAAAAGTTCTGCAGTCCTGCTGCTGTGATGTTAACTCGAGTTTATGATAACGGACGTCCGTACTCATGACAGGTATATGAAAGAATGAGCCACGATTCATCGCGATGGTACGACCTATTCCCCACTCGTATGTCCTAGCAATGTTCCAGAATATTTCATCAGATTATAAACTCAATTCAACTCGAGGTATAGATGTAGAAAAAATAGCAATACAAGAGAGAGAAGAATGTGTATACATCTATACATATTTGAACGAACGTGAAGTTTATAACGTTACAAGAGTTTCTCGCTTCGAAAATTTCAAATATTCTTTGAAAGCCCAATTATAACTAAACTCTCTCGCACATTTTATTTTCTTTACATTATTAATATATTGCTTTATATTAATAATTTTATATTAAGCAAACCTATTATTCTTATGGATTAATAGGATAATTATAGAAAAGTTATTAATACAGATTAAGAATATGTAATATATATTAGATATATAAATTATATATATATATATATATATATATAAGAATTTTATATATTATTTTAATAATAGAGAGTAATAGAAAATGATCGATTAATTAATTTTATAAATATATTGTAGAAATATATAGATATCGATATTGGAATTGGAAAATTAATTTTAATAATCTATATATATATATATATATATATATATATATATAGGTTATTAAAATTAATTTTCCAATTCCATATATATGTATATACAGGGTGTCTCTGAATTCAGTACCAAAATTGATACAAGGTCTTTAGGACAAACAAGTTTTGGAGTTATAAGATAATAAAGTTGCTTTCTTAAGACAATATAAATTGAAATAAATGTTGTTTAATGTTTTTTATTTTGTTTAAAGCTTTACAAAAGATCAAAAATTCTTCCGTCGACTTCAATACACTTTCTAGCACGAATAAATAAATTGTTTTGAGCATTTTGGAAAATATTTGGAGTGTACCGAATTTGACGGAAGCATCTTTTGTAAAGCTTTAAACAAAATAAAGAACATTAAACAACATTTATTTCAATTTATATTGTCTTAAGAAAGCAACTTTATTACCTTATAACTCTGTTCAAATTCGGACGTATGTTTATTAACATTTTCGACTTGTCTCCTAAAGCCGCTGTATCAATTTTGGCACTGAATTCAGAGATATCCTGTATATATATATATATATATATATGTGTGTGTGTGTGTGTGTATATATATATATATATATATATATATATATATATATATGCTACAGATGCTAAAATTATAGAAATAAAATGAATTATTACGCACTGCCAATAAATATAATAAAGTAGTTATAAAATATAACAATAATCACAGTATCAAAAAATGTAAGAATATAGTCTAATGAAAAGTTATAATAATCATAAATAAACACACAAAAATCTTAAGTTATATCGTCTCATACATTATATTAATTTTTCTAAATTACGATAGCATGTTTCATGTACGACATACTAAAAGGCAGAGTGCATAATTTTTGTATTATTACTTTTATATTATTATTGTATTATTTATATTTAATTATCTATATTTAATTTAAAAATATCATTCACAAGAAAATAAAAAACTTTTTACATTATATTACATTATATTAAGAAATACTGACATTATACATACATATGTTGTAATAAAATCGAAGCTGGAGTATATTTTTCGATAAGTTACGCGAGAAATGCCGATACTCTGGCCTACTCGACGAAATTGTAGTGAGTTTTGACGGGTCAGTAACTCCGAAAATATTTATGTCGTCCCAAACTATTCTTACACCCGCGACATGGATATTTTCGTCTAATGTTGAGCAACTCCGTATACGTTTTATTGCTTTTCCCCTAATTACGACTATTCGCTGACTTCTAAAAATATCATTTTGAAAATTGCAAGAATATTTATCCGACTTGTCATCGTCGGTGATGTTCTCGCGAAAAATCATAATATAGTTGCGTATTTCTCATCTATACAAATTTGTTATTTTATTGATCGTTTTATTAAACGTCGATTGGACTCTCACTTGCGTGCATTTCTCTTCTCATTAAAAAACATTATATTTTCCTCTGGAAATTATAAACTTATTTGGTGCAAATCCATCGCGAAAAATCTCTACAATCGTGAAAAAGTGTTACTTGAAACAGCACAGTCAACATGGAGAAAGAGAATTCAATTTATCTTGACTTTATATCTTGAAAATTTTTTTCTGGAAATTATAAACTTATTTACACTTGGTGCAAATCCATCGCGAAAAATCTCTACAATCGTGAAAAAGTGTTACTTGAAACAGCACAGTCAACATGGGGAAAGAGAATTCAATTTATCTTTATTTTATATCTTAAAAAAATTTTTTTTCTGGAAATTATAAACTTATTTACACTTGGTGCAAATCCATCGCGAAAAATCTCTACAATCGTGAAAAAAGTGTTACTTGAAACAGCATAGTCGACATGGGAAAAGAGAATTCAATTTATCTTTACTTTATATCTTGAAAAAAATTCTTTAACTCTCATATATGAAAAACGTGCAAAGATAAATAGATCGATGCATCAAAGCGAATAAAAGAATACTCAAAATAAAACATGGCCTTGGCTAGCTGCATCGAGTTGTTAAATACATACAAGTTGGAATTTTTTTATTTTTACATACTTGGCATATTTATTTTTTGAAAGAGAGATTTTATAATACTTGTACTTTCCTTTTACTATTAAGAATAGAAACTTTGTGATGCTTAATGTGTCAATATATGTTTATACTTTGCTCGGTGATCATCCATAAGTACCGACACTTCTCCTCCATTCTTCTTGCATCGAGGCTTCCGATACAGCGGTGTAACATCAGTTCATCTTCACGGCGAGTGGTGGTGGCGGTGGTGAAGTGCTCACTCGTTACCGAGGACGGCAAACGAAGGGACTCTCGAGACATTGAAGTTTTCGATGAGTCTAAAGGATCGCGTGGGGAGGTCAACAGATGTTGCAACAGAGGCCAAAGTTGAACGAGGATCTGACGTATCGTTGTCTGTGTGTTTGTGTGTGTTGCGATCAAGCAACTTGACTATCTGCATATTCTGTGTAGCATTAGAACATTCGGAAAACTTTACCTCTCAGGAAATTCGAAGAGATCGTATCACGTGAAAACGATAGCACGTTATGTAACACCTTCAGCCATCACTGCCGATGAATCAGAAGCTCTTAATCTCGATGCTATCTATTTATTTCTTTTTAATTGACTCATCCGACAATAATTTAAAGAGGATTTTTATTTTTAATTTAATGAATTTTTAATTTAATGAATCGCTAAATGTAATTAATTATTCAGCTCGACTAACTTTAATTACTTTGATCGATCGTACTTTTTTCGTTGAAATTAAAAAATATCCGTTAAATGTATAAAGTCTCCAATACTAAAAAAATTTTTTTGTTCCTATCAAATTGACGGCACAATTATTTAAAGTCTCTTGTGGATTTTAAATAATTAAAAATTCATGGATATATTTAAATGGAAATGTATTTCCAGCAATTTCATTCAATTCACCTAATATTTGCGGATAAGCTTCAAGAGTATCGGTCGGAGACGCAACGGATATGAATTCCCCGAGAAGGGACTACTACACATTTCGTAGAGAGATGCGCACATGGGTAGGGAATTCCCTCAAGCCAGATATATTCCGTCGACGTAAACGTAACAGTTCCATTCAAAGGATTAAATAAGTAATTACATGCTCGCTCTACTGTGCATTACGGGAACGGAACGTTTATCGTAAGAGAGAGACATGTCGCGCGAACAAACGACGCGTCAATCGTGCTTTACGAGGGAGAGCATCTGGAAAACGCTTCCGACGTATTAAACGCACGGCGAAAGAGCTTCCACGCGCGCGATTACTTGGAGCGAAGGAAAGTCAAGGAGAGGAAGCGCTTTGAAATTCGACGCGGATCTGCCTCGGGAAATGTATGCGTGTTAAAGAAACAACCGTGCGAACAGACAGTCACATAGCCCTGTGACCGATTTTTTTTTTTTAAAGGAGAATAATTTATTACAAATTACGAGTGCACAAGCACGCGCTTCAAAATGCGATATATGATACATATATCATATATAATATCGAAATATCGTCTTCATTCAAATTAGGCTAGAGAATCTGTTGTTAAAAAGACATTTTTTACACGCTTTATTGGCGTTTCACTAATTCTGTTAATTTTTCGAGAAATCGATATAAACTTTTTTTTTAATTTTATCGAAAAAGGAGAGCTCTCTCTCTCTTTCATATTATGTAATAAATAAAATTTTAAACTCAATTTAGGAGAAGTAAAAGAAAAGCAATTGCAAAAGTTTGAATAAAATTAAATTTTTATACATTTTTAAAGTTTTTGTTAATCTAAATATAATATTTTTTTATTAAAAACATTTTTAATAATCATATGTCATCGACAGTTACAGAGACTTGAAATATCGTAATTTTTACAAGATCTCTTGGAAGCCCTGAGTGACATCGAGTAACGATCTAACGTGGCAAAACACTGGTGATATATCAGGCTACTTACACGGGATTCGGGAAAAACAAGGGAAAAGAGAAACAGAGAAATAGAAAGAGAGAGAAATCCCCATAAGAATCCCCGATTCTAAATTTGCCGTTAATAGCGGGACGTGACGAATGGGCGCAGATGCATTCGACGTGCCTCCGGGGACGTGCTCTGTTTTGAAAACGTGCCGATATGCCGTGTGACGATTTCAGACAAGCTTTCGGATTATACAGCTAGATATGTCCGGTGTCCGATCCCTCCGCTCCGATTTCCATGTCGCTTATACGAGGTCCTCTCTTTGAGAGAGTGTCTCTCTTACTCATAAGTCGATGGCAATTTCAGCTGTCTTTGGCGATCCTGGGCGTCAAGCAAAACAGATCGTAAAGAAATGAGAATAATGCACAAATACGGAAAGTAGAAGCGGAAGTATCTGCTTTTTAACATGGCAAAAAATATATTCGCACGATTAATTTCTTCTTTTTCCCTGGGACTCGAACTATTTGTCTCCTATTGTAGATGCTCGCTCGTGAACGTTTTGCTCCTTCCATCGATCGTTTTCATCATCGAAAACGATACAGAGAAGATTGCCCTGCATCTTCTCTCGCATGCATTTTACACGAAATTGCAACGATCGAATATAGGATCGACAATTCATCGTTATTTACGGAAGATTGGAGGTTTATTCGCATGGAAAGTTTACAGTGTCCAACGTAAACATTTATCGATTTAGCTCCTCGCGATGCAATATGCACTAGATGGAGAGGCAGTTTTTACGGCACTCGAGGCACTCGAGAGATTTCCGTTTTAAGTAAGAATGTGGAGAAAGCGACACTTTTCGAGTGGAAGCGATGGAAGCGCGACAGCTGACATTTTATTTCGCTTTCCTCCAGCGGTAGATCCAAAGTGACGATGTATCATGAAAATGTAGGCGCGATAGTTTCAACAACAAGTCTTCGAAGCTTTTCAAAAGTATTTTAAACGATTTCTAGAATTTCCCTTCTTTTTAGGATCATCTATAAGAATCATCAAAATGTGGACAAAAAAGAATAGAAAATTCTTGGATATTTAAATATATGTTAAACGTTCACGATACAAGTCTTTGAAACTTTTTGAAGGTATTTTAAAAGAATTTCTAAGATTTCCTTTCTTTTTATAGTGGAATCACTCACAAAAATCATCAAAATATTATGTAAGAAGAAGAACCAAAGGATCAATATTCTTAAACGTTTAGACATGCATTAAACGTGTCGATTTACATTATCATTAATTATATTTCCATTAATCATATGTGACAAGCTCGTAATATAGTAGAAGACATAGCGTTAAAATATGCGGCCCTTAACGCGACGATGGTTAGCCGACTGATTAATCATCCGCCGTCTGATGAATGACTCTCGGCCGCTATCCGAGAAAAGCTCGTTAAGGGGAATACGAACGAATGATTCGAAAATCCGATGCAGCAAGCGGTACGACATCAGGAGAAAGAAAAGTCTCTCCGTTTCTTCGTTCCTCTTTATTGTTTCCGCATATTTACATTATTGATATCGATGAGAAACTCGGTTAGATAGATACTCCACGCAATCGATACATCTCGCAAGCACATGAGAAGGCTTGTTCCGACGATTTTCTTGAGCGTGTCTCCCTTAATATTTTTCAAAATTAATTGTAAGGTATTTTACGCTAAAATATCACGATTTAAATCCATAATTTTCGAATTGAAATGCAAAACAACGCATATGCAAGGAAAGATAATTTTGTACATTTAATGAGGAAGAAACTCTATATCAAGAGAAGAATACATTGCAGTTGTAAGGATAAAGATTAATTTTGAAAATAACAGTAGTATGCTTCATCTATACAAGTATTGCAGAGATAACAAGAAAAATACGAAAAGTACGAAAGCGCAAAAAATATTTCTGGCAATTACATCGCTCTGCATTTCTCGCGCTTGTTCTAAATTAATATCGCCAAAAAATAGGGACGAGTAAAAAAAAGAAAGAAATTAATCTTTTAAAAATCTATGAATCCCCTATTGGAAATAAAACGCATTTTTGTTTTCAATAGCGTTTTTCTTCATTCCAAATATTTAAATATCGGCCTCATAACGAGTTCTTACTCCGCTATAAATTTTCATCATGCGTTCTTTTATAATAACTACTATAATTAATATTAAGCTAAGTTCTCGCCAAGGGAGAAGAAAATCTAGAATTTATCTTTTAAAATATTTCTTCTTTGGTATATATGTATAGATAAAATATTTTTTATACTATTTCTCACGGCGTTTCCAATATTTCGCATAGATTTGACGACGGATAATCGGAAATCTATATTACTTTGTACGGCTTTCGTTGAATATCAATTTAATCGCTCGAGAGATGTACGTGATTTTTGCTTCGACAAAAATCCATCGCGCGTTCGTGCGACCGATTAAAATGTATACGATGTTTCAAAAATCGAACGCTTCTTCTCCACTAGGAATTCCTCGAGTTTAGAGACGCAAAATGTCTTCCTCTCCTTTATTTATATATTTTTATATTTCTTTTAATTATAAATAAACAGCCACCTAACTTACTATTGTCAACATCTCCGTCATTCATCTTCATCTTTCTGCAAGTCGCTAAAAGTACACTTTTAACGATTTTCGAAACATCCTGTGCAATACGATAGAATTATTTCGAAAAGGGTCAGATCTTTGACCATATATGTATATGTATATATGCACGTTAAATTGAAAATTCGAGTGACGTACATTTTGCTGCCGTAAAGGCTAAGAAGGAGGGCTTGAGCCAAAGAGGGATCAGCAAGACTCGATATTGCAACTTCAGTGATGCGGTGAATAATGATTCTCCGATGACGATTGTAACGGTCCATTAATGCTTTGCACGATCATACTGAGACAATCCAAGCTACTGCCGTTATTTTGCGAGGATAACGCTTGCTCGGTTTGCTCGAAACCTGAAAACATAAAAAAGAACGATATTAGAATATATAAGTCGAAGGAATCATACTGTGGACTTTATTTTATAGGATTTTATTTACAGTTTATTGATTTCTACAATCTTTGGTCGCCAAGCTATTCTTGGCAAATTCTTAGTATATTTTATTTTTCCGAGTTTTTCTCCTCGGCTATTAAAGAGTTCGGTTTGGGTTCCTCTTGATTTTTTATTTGACGAGCGAGGAGTCCTTGGTGGGGAGGAGCGAGGTGTCGCCGGGGCAGGAGAAAATTTCCTCTCGAACAGTTCAATTGGAATTAGTTTCCAAGGAAGAAATTGGATTACTTTCCGAGGGTGTCGGTTGACATTGGCAATGCTAAGAAGGTCTAGGAGATCTCGAGGATCTGGAAGGTCTTGAGGATCTGGAAGGTCTCGGAGATCTTGAGGATCTGAAAGGTCTCGGAGATCTCGAGGATCTGGAAGGTCTCGTCGGTCTCTGGATCAGGAAGGTCTCGGAGATCTCGAGGATCTGGTAGGTCTCGTCGGTCTCTGGATCAGGAAGGTCTCGTCGGTCTCTGGATCAGGAAGGTCTCGGAGATCTCGAGGATCTGGAAGGTCTCGGAGATAAGGTAAACCGTGAGGGTATTCAAAAAGGACAAAAGATAATTTCGCTGAATAGCTAGAAGCTAATTTCTGCGAGGTTACAAGAGTCAAAGTCGTCACCCGCATCTTCATATACTTCAAATACACTTTCCAATTTTTCAATTGCGAGAAAGTAATCTTAATATGTCGCGCCTTTCAGCGGCATTAATTATAATTGAGATTGCGCCCACGCTGGTCAGCATTTTGCGCGATCGCGCTCGGTGTGGCGAGCGTCACGGTCGCCACACATATATATTTTACATGTGTTATTTGAGCGACATAGTCTCTATTTAATGATGTTTGTCGGGCGGAATTACGTTCCTGAAATTTCAAACAAATCGAAATTCCGTTCTCAGAAATTAAACTCCGTTTTCACGGCGCGTTTAACGCGAAAGAACCGTCGCGATCGCAAGTCCTAGGCAAGTGCAATGCGCTGTGTGCGAAGCGCAAATTGCGCTTAAACCAAGCTTTGGATGCTCTTTAACGCAGTGTATATCCAGATACGGATGAATTACGAGCGAATTGAGAGCGACGGGGTCGGCTCTTTTTTCCTCCACTTCTCGTTGTCCTTCGCTGGTCGCGGCGAAAGCACTTGCATAAGTTATGCACCCCTCTGTGTAAGAGCTTTGAGACCGTTATTCTTGGCACTGGTCTTTCCGTTTTAAATTTGACTCGTATTTTTCAACCGCAAGGTATGTATATCCACGTGCATATTAATGTTTCGTAAAAGGATCACGTTTGCTCATTGTTGTTATATAATTTATAGAGAATTTTCGCTTTCTTAGCAAAAATATATTGTTATAAAGCACACTTTTACGATGTGCAAGATTCGTAATTAAAAATTCATATATTTCTTTTTATTTTATTTTCATCAATATGTAAATAAAGTGTTTGCCCTTATAATTAGATGGAAAAGAATTTTAAAAAGAGTGTTTTAATTGCATATTCCCTGGTATTTTTATACCGTAATGTTCATCAATTGTCGCTAAGCAAAATGATGATTAACACTGCAATTTTTAAAATTCAATCAGTAAAGTATATTAAATTATCTAAACAGAAATAGAAAAATAAATATATATATTCTTTACATGCGATATTTAGCGGTGTTAAATTTAATGATTAGAACAGCAAGCATATAAACTGTCGCGGTAGATCATCATCGAATGCGTCGATGATCTAATTAGCCATCCACATTCGCCAGTATCTTGGATATATTGCTGGCACGAAAGTTCGGATAAAGATATTGCAAAACGTAACTGAGAAAACGGAGGAAACATGCGAAACTAATAATATTAGTTGGAACGCGAGCGAATAAGTCGACATACGCTGATAAATACAAGATGACAGTTAAATTCAATTTTCTCTTTTTGCACTTTTTGCTCATTTTACGCAGGATAGTAGTAGCTTTATATTGCGACATTTTATAAATTACGAACTTACTATCTATGTCGATTTGGTTATTTAAAATGTTGTAATAACAATAGTCTCTAACAATAAATAATAGGGATTTAAAAGCGAATAATTTTTCGCAAAGCAATCTTCGCGAAAATCGACTTTCATCTTCATTTAATTCCGAATGGATATCATTTTAATAATAGAATTTTAATTGGAAGATCTTAATTATATCAAGACATTCAGAAATAAGAGACTTATGGAGAGAAATGGGATTTAATCAAACTTTCGTTGAAGAAAAATCGATTGCATGTCGAAGAAGATTGCGTAAAGGTTTTATAGAAGCTACTTATTTTTCAAGTCCGTACAGACTGTACAAGAATTATCCGCGTCTGCTAAAATTCTTCGTAAATATTGTGCGAAAACGCTCTTGCTCAACAACTGCAATCTCCATAATATTAAGAATAATGTAGAAATGAAGAGATTATATAAATATTCATGAACCTAAGATGGTAAAATAATGAGAAAATGCTGAAAAGGTTTTTATATAGCTTGCTCGGTTCCTGACGATATAAAAATAGCAATAATCGCAAAATGAGAATGTTACTTTATGATAATGATGATTACGATGATGATTCGATGTATTTTAATAAAATATTGCATTATATAAATATATATAAAATATTGTGTATAGTTTGATTATGCATCCTTATTTTTTTCGATGTTTTTACGATGATTCAATAATGAACCTTCTCCCCCTTTCCCAGAAATTTATATTTATTTTATATGATGTCAATGCAAACATAAAATGTGTAAATGAGAGATATCAATGATAAATTACCATTTAAATATTAATACAAATAATTAATATCTATATCATGATAAAAATTTTATTCTATCAATATTTATTTTGTATGAAACGCCCTTTCTCCTGATTTGATTGCAACTCGAAAATAGTATATTTCGTTAGAATCAAAACAAAAAATATAAACTGTTTTAAGATTATAAATTTTAAAATTTTAATTGTTTAATAAAATTTTACTTTAATAATATAAATCATAATATATAAAATAATAAAAACATTTGATGCTTATATTAATTGATGTTTATATTAATTTTGATGTTTATGTTAATTATTCTAATAATATTTTTTATAAATAAATTTGATTTTAATATTATTTTATTTTTTATTTAAATGAAGACTAATTTCACAACATTTATTATAATTATTTAATGAGCAATAAATTTTAAATGTAATTTTAAATTATAATGTTTAGCTTCATATAAATAAATAAATATATAATTTATTTGTTCCATCATTACTTTTTATTTTTAAATTATATTTAAATTTAAAATCATCTATTTAATATTAATTTGTTAAGTATATAAGAAATTATTGAATGAAAATAAAATTTTAAAATTTTATAAGTACATTTATAAAATTTTTAATTAAAATATTGATATTGATTCATTCATATATTTTTCATTTGAATGCTAAGGACTCATATTGAAATTTTTATATTGGAATCGATAATTTTATTAAAATTAAGGAGATATGTGGTTTATTACGATTTATGGAAATATTTATATATAAGTGTAATTTATAGAAATATACAGCTTTTAGCTCGTGTAAGAGTTATTGAAAGTATAGTAATTGGGAGTTTGTTTAATTCGAAATTTTCCGATATCATTGCACTGAACAATTAATCGTGTTCATCGATTGTTTGGCGAGGCATGAGGCATGAGTATTTATTTATAGATCACTGCCTACGATACTGGATGTCATACTGCTTCGGATGATGTATTACCTAGTTTGTTCGCCAGATTTGTTTGATATACCGTACGAGACCGAGCAGTTTTCGCGATGATGACGTGAATTATTTATCACAGATCTGCTGGCCGCAATTTTCGTAATTCTTGATATATGTATCTGTGAATAAACAAACGAGTGGACATTTCTGTGCCTATAATAAAGAATGGAACGCATAATCAAATATAAATACTATTCAAACGTATAAAAAATTAATTTTTAATAATTAATTTAATATAATTAATTACTTTATATATTTAGTTTTAGTTTATGTATCCAGCTGATATCAAAATGATATTCGGAGAAAATAATTTGATGATAAAACGTAAAAATTTTTTGGAACCAACTAAACTGACCCATTTCAATATATTTACACAAAAACTTGTTACGTGAATTTATAAAACAAAATTGTTGACATCCGATCTGTTTTTGATGATTTTTTGGTTGACACATATTTGTGCAAATTGATTTGAAAGAAGTATCAATTTCGGAGCATCAATTTCGCAACAAATGGAATAAGCGAGATTGGATCAATAAGGATCTAATATTTTTCCATTATTTCGATATATACGAAATATCTGTTTTTTATATTGCACTTCGTCACTTTAATCGATTCGATAAATCAGTAGATTAGTTTGCAAATGCCTCATAAGAGGGCTAGGATTAAATAAGAGCGGCAAGAATAAACCGATCAACTTACAGAAGAAACATGCAAGGGATACGTTTGAAAACGGAATTGCATCTAAAAATATAAATAGGCATAAGAAGCAACGTTGAATCGGAAGAATACTTGCTAAAATGATATCGTACTCGACACGTACAATATTTAAGTACCAGTTAAAGTGATTTATCGCGATATACGTGACAAGGGCTAAAAAAATGCAAATTGGATAAAGTATTATACATTATTTATAAAAATGGGAGCGCTTTTGTCAATTTTGAACGCGAAGAAAAAAAGAGGCCTTTCTCTAGAGGAAACGGGAAAGAGGACAACTTAAAAATACTTTATAAAGGATTTATACGTAATAATAATATAAACTGCACGATTATTACAATTTTAATTATGCTGCTTCGATCAACGTACATCATTAAAATAGGTCGCACTTCGCGTTTCGCGTGAAATAATTTCGGGTGCGAAGGCTCAATATGTCCTCGTCGCGGAAAAAGACCCGGAGACG